TGAAAGACTTGCATTTCACAATTTTATAGAAAACATGTATTGTTTAACAAAATTATATATATTATCAATAGAAAGCAAAGTAAGAAAACGATTAGATCTTATTTCTGTAAATTGCTATCTTCTACAATATGATTCAGCAGAAATGAAGACAGGTAAAGATATTGAAACATCTGTGTCAACAAATGGAAGGTAAATTCAGAACAGTTTAAGGGCTAGTTGACTTAGCACGAGAGAATAAAATTAATTTAGTATAGATAATATATAGATTATACATTCAAAAATGTTATAGAAACTACCCTTTAAAAGAATCAATTATGGTTTAATCAATTCATTATAGTTTTATTAGCATAAAGTTTAAAATTTCTGGAAAAAAAAAAAAAAAGTATTATTCCCTTTTGAGGCAGCTGAATAGCCAATGTACATCCCCTGACCTTGTCTTATGGTTGTTGTATATATTGAATTGGTGTACTGTGGGAAAATCTGATTTTCTTATTTGATTAGATAAGCTAAAGCCATCAAAAGTAGAGAGGGTAGACATTTCAATTTTTAAAGTTTATCAGCAGCATTTTACTGTTTAAATGTGAGTTTGTTTACCTTAATTATATCCATAAAGGTGTTTAAAGAAAACCTCAAGGGCAGAAAAGAATTGCTTTATTTCCCATTTAATGTTCCTTCTCCCACAGGATACTTACTGTCATTATCATTACTGAAATAGTTCTGCTTGGAATTTGGCCATGTAGGGAGCAATAAATCTGCAATTTGAACAGATTCGTTGGAAGGAAACATGAAAAATTTTTGTAAATTTATTTTGACAGGCGTAAAGTGAATATTATCTTAAAATACTTGGGAAATGACCAAGTTATATTACTAAAGGGTAAAAGAGAGAACAGAATGAGCCTTGGGTAAAGCAGAAAACATCATAAATCATATAAGATAGCTCTGTGCTTTTATCCTTGGGTCCGTATGTTCTTCTAAAAAAAAAAAAAAAAAACAATTTCTAACAATTTAGTATTATTTTGCACAGCTCAAGGAGGCCCTGGGTGTTCCTATAACAGCTAAGTGACACCATTTATAAACTATATCCGTACATTTGGGCTTGGCGTTTTCTTTCCCAAGTTTTATTTAATTCTCTTTGAAACTATTCTTTTTTCAACATTTTCAATAAATATTCCAATCTTAGAATCAGAAGCAAGGGATATGAAACTGCTTTTTCTATCAGAAATAAATTATTTTAGCATTTTTAAAGATCAGCTTCCTTAAAATAACTACAAGGACCTTGTGGACAAAGAGAATAAAATTTGTTTTGCTGTATTTTTTTTGCCTAGTTTTCCTGCATTTATTATATAAAATAGATTATGATTTGTATAATTGATGATTATAGTTGATAACTGGCATGGATGTACACACACACACACATATTTATTTATATTACACAACTCTGCATTTTTAAGAATACTGTTAATACTTCTTTTAATAACATCTACCACAGGTTAATCAGCTCAAGATATTAAGTCCAATGGATAGTTTTTCATGCATATTATTAATATTTCCACTTTTCTTCTTCTGGGCACAGGGTACAAGCAGATGTTTCTACTCTCTTCAAAGAACCATGTGCCTTACTTTGGTCAATGATAGGAGAATAAAATTAATGTGTATCACTCAAGACAGAAATGACTGAGTGAGTGTGTGAATCTCTGTGTGCCTTTTCCATTGCAACCAATGACATTTCAACCAATGACATGTAGAGACCTCATTAGCTCATCTGTAAGGAAGACATGGATTAGTGTCCCTTTTCAACCTGAGATGAACATGTAATAAGATTGAGACCTTTGCCCTGGCCGGTTTGGCTCAGCGGTTGGAGCGTCGGCCTGCGGTACAGAGAGACCTGGGTTCGGTTCCCGCTAAGGGCACGTACCTCGGTTGCAGTTTGTCCCCGGCCCTGGTTGGTCGTGCGGTGGCAGCCACTCGATGTGTCCCTTTCACGTCGATGTTTCTCTCTCTCTCTCTGTTCCTCTCTCTCCCTCCCACTCTACCTGAACAAAAAAATGGAAAAATGCCCTCGGGTGAGGATAAAAAAAAATAATAATAAGATTGAGACCTTTGAACCCTTTTGATAGGGGGAGGGCACATAAGTGTAGAACCACAGTTGTTTAATAATTATTAACCTTACTAACTATAGATAAGAGTTTTTTTTACAGACCCTTGAAAACTAGAGGATGAAACAGGGCTGTTATAGATAAGACATCCCAAAGCCCAGATGGGTCCATTACTCAGAAAAGAAGATACATTTTGAGAACAGACTGGACAGGACATGCTTTGACTTGGTGCTGTGCCTGGACCGTGACCCCTCTCCAAGAGTTTGTCTCAGGATTGCTGACTATTCTCTGGTCCCAGGAACGGGCTGAGCTGTTTGTAGCATCATAGAATATTAGCCATCTTGTTATCTGACTTCAAGCTTCTGGAGGCCAGACTGTAGACCCTACCCTCCCTTCCTCATATTACACTTGCAGTTCGCAGCTGCGGGTAGCTGTCTCCCTCACCCATATCTAATCAGCCAGGTGGCAAAGAGGGAGCCAGGGCAGAAGTTCCAGGATGACCTATTGCTCTCCCCATACTGCTGGCATTATTGGAATAAACACTCACATTTGATTCAACCCTATCTCCGCTTAATGTGGCCCAAATAGTGACAGGCAGCCTCGGAACCGTTTAGTGTCTGGTATCATTTCCACTTTAAGCCTCTGAAATGTTGGCTTTGTTGATGCAGTATACCTTAAACCATTCCGAACAAAATGGATAATGTTCATTACATGCACATAGAACAAACTAACTAACCTGGCTTAAGATATATTAACTTAATGTCATTGAATTCTACAAGTATTGCTTGATGGTCCACTTTGAGCCTGGTAGTCTTCTCTAACGTTTGTTAAGGCTAAAGAGAAAGGAGTAATTGAGGTTAATTGATAGAAATGTTTACCAGTTTTTTACTAAGACCCAGAAAACATTCCTGGGAAATGTATTACATATGGCTAGTAGAAGAATGTAGTTATTCTTTATTTATTTTTAAAATGTTTTTATCGATTTTTTTTTAGAGAGAGAGGAAGGGAGAGAGAAATAGAAACATCGAACGGCTGCCTCCTGCACACCCTCTACTGTGGATTGAGCCCCCAAACAGTGCATGTGCCCTGACCGGAAACTGAACCTGGATCTCTCAGTCCATGGAACAATGCTCAATCCACTGAGCCATGTGGACCAAGCTAGTTATTCTTTTTCTTTTTATAACTTTTTTTTTTCTTTATTGACTTTAGAGATAGAGGGAGACTGAGAGAGAGATAAAAACATCAATGAGAGAGAACATCTATCGGCTGCCTTCGGCATGCCCCCCACTGGGGATTTGGCTCACAACCTGGGCATGTGCCCTGACTTGGAATCGAACTGGTGACCTCTCGGTGCCTGGGTAGAAACTCAAGCACTGAACCACACTGCTGGACCAGTTATTCTTTATTTAATAATTGTTCACTTTTTATTATGCACCACACAGTCTTTACAGTACTTGAGATAACTCAGTGAACAAATTATATAAAGATCTCTTCTTCCACTAATCTGTCTCTACCATAGGAAGACAGATTATAAAGAACAAACTTTGTACATTAGTAAATAATATAAAAGATAATAGGTGCTATGGGAAAAATTACAAATAGGGCAAAGGGAATTGAAGGCTTTGAGGAAGAGGGCAATAGGTAATAATCTTTTCAATGGTTAAAGGGGAGAGTTTATCATACAGGATTTGGTCATAAAAAAGCAGATGCACTTAAATAGGCTTTTAAAGAGAATCTGACCACAGAGCTGTTTGCAGAGGTGTGAGCTAGATTAAGGAGTGCTGGTGTACTCAATGTCTAGTAAGGATGGAAAGCTGTTACTGTCCTTAAACTTAAAGGTAGAAAGGGAGAAGCATTCTTATCAGAGCCTATGGAGAGTGGGAGCCAAGTGAAAGGGACCACGCTGTTGGAACTGTAACCAGAGGTACATACCTTCAGAACTGTAAGCAGAAAAGCAAGAAGAGAAGAGGGGAGGAAATACCTCAGCTTCTTTCTCCTTCCACCTTCTGATCTCCCTCTTTAATTTGCTATTGTCTGAACCCAATGGGAGGAAGCTGGCTAGGGAGCCCTGGTGATGCGGCCCATTGTTGCCAAGCCCCAAGACATACAATGTGCTGAGAACGGCACAAGTGGGTTGGAACGACAGAGGGCAACGGAGAATAATGACAATGTCGATCTGAGGTGACATTTGAGCATGGCTTCAAGGAAATGAGATAATTAGTTATGCTTATGTCTGAGTATTCTAGGAAGTGAAATTAGCCAGTGGAAAAACCCTAAAATTGAAGTATTCCTAGATAAGCTTGAGGAACAACAAAATGTGCCTGGAATAGAGCTCATGGAAAGGAGAGAAATAAAAAAGCAAGATGAAAGAAGGAGCAGAAGCCCGGCTGGTGTGGCTCAGTGGTTGAGTGTGGACTCATGCACCAAGGTGTCACATGCCCAGGTGGGGGTCTGATCCCCACTGTGGGGTATGCAGGAGGTGGCCAATCGATGTTCTCTCTCATCAATGTTTCTCTCTCTCTCTCTCCCTCTGCCTTTCTCTCTCTAAAAATCAATAAAGAAAAAAAACAGTTAAAGAAAAAAAAAGTAGCAGAAGTCCAAATCATTTGCTTCTGCTGAGATTTAGGTTCCACTCTGAATGGAATGGGGAATCAGTACAGAATGTGTCCCCATCTGGAGCCCAGGAGAGGATTGTCAATAGTGATGCAGTATACCCTAAACCATTCTGTTAATGGAAGACTCCATATCTTGTTTGAGTAACACACTTATGCCTTAATAATAAATACTATTAAAACATTAAAAAGTTATTCAATATGGAAGTGATGACAGATACAGAACAATATACATATCCACTATCTGCCCCATAGTCCACCACCACATTGCTTTATAAAGAATAATTTTTCAGTGATCACTTTGAGAGCACAGATACTGAAATTGGAATGATACAGAGATTAGCGTGGATCCTGTGCAAGGATGAAACACAAATTTGTGAAGCATTCCATTTTTTTCAAATCGTTTTCATAATATCGTCCTGTGTTCAGTGCTGTTGGTCCATCGAAGCCCATTTTAAGTTCTCTCCTTTAGCTTATTGTGATCAATATTTTCATCATGGAGGTCATGTTGCTTGGGTATACATGTCTAGTTCATTGATTTTTTTCCTAGTTATCTAGACCTAGTGAAACATAATAGTTAACATGAACAAAATATTATCTACTCCCCAAATTGATCTATTTATTCATTATTTTAAGCATATATTACATCCATTGTACTTAGTCAATAAGAGAGCCAGAAGGACTGATTCTTCCTGAAGTTTTAGCAATAAATACTTTTGACTTCCTTCCTCCATTTCTTTCTTTCCTTTCCCTTCCTTCCCTCTCTTTCCTCCCTCCTTCCTTTCTCCCTTTCCTTCCACCCTTCCTGCTTGCTCTTCCTTCCTTCCCTTCTTCCTTCCTTCCTTCCTTCCTTCCTTCCTTCCTTCCTTCCTTCCTTTCTTTCTTTCTTTCTTTCTTTCTTTCTTTCTTTCTTTCTTTCTTTCTTTCTTTCTTTCTTTCTTTCTCTTCTTCTCCTCCTCCTCATCCTCATCCCCTTCCTTCCTTCCTACCTTCCTTCCTTCCTCTTTCTTTTTCTTAAATTATTTTAATAATTTTTCATGTACCCAGCATTGTACTAACAACTGATGCATTCTATACACTGACTTAACAACCAGTCAATTGAGCAAAATGGGAAATGACACAAATTGTTTTATGACCCTGACATAGCACCTGAGGTAGACTACATATGTTTTCTGTAGAGGTCAGAATGACACATCTCTATCTGCCACTCCAACTGAAGCTGTGTCCTCAAACACAGGAGCTGCATTGCCCAGAAGTCTGACTTTTATATGATAAAGGGAAGAAAGGCAGAAGTCCGATGAATTATCTTAACTGAGTGTATTAGTATGCTTGCTTTGCCTTTACAGAATACCACCAGCTAAGTGGCTTCAACAACAGAAATTTATTTTCTCAAACTTCTGGAGGTTGAAAGTCTAAGGTCAAGCTTCCAGTATGGTAGGGTTGTGGCATATGGCAGAGAGAGAAGGTCTGGTGTCTCTTCCTCATTTTAGAAGGGCACCAGCCCTATTGGATTAGGGCCCAACCCTTAGGACTTAACTTAAACTTTATCATCTGCTCATAGTCCCTATTTCCAAATACAGTCATGTTTGGTGTTAGAGCTTCAAAGTACAAACTTGTTGTGTATGGGGTGTATAATTTAGCCCATAAGACTGAGCCACAGGCTACTTTTTTTCATTTCATTTTCTCATGTCTACCATTTTGACATTAATATAATTTGAGGCTCATGTATTTAAGTTAGTTGGGGACTCACCAATTCATAGGGTTTGGTGGAAATTGACCAGATTTGATGGTGAAACTGAGGTGAATATGACACACTCTTTATATCTCAGTCCCAACTGCCGGATGGCTCACCCCACAGAAATTTTACAGCTTTTCAAACCTTTTTCTAATCTATTTCCAGTGTAGTTTCTTCTCCTTTAAACACTGACCAAGACTCAAACTGTTAAGCCATATGCATAATGGAAGTTTAGAAATATTCCTTCCAGAATGCTTCCAATATCACCATCAACTGATTCCACATATACTCCCTGTGGCTTGCCTGTTTGTAAAATAATAGATGCTTTAGGGTTCTTTCTCCACCCTTCCCCATTGTTATTACTGTTATTTCCTTTAACTGCTACCTTTTTAATGTCTCACATTTTATTTTGTCCTTTTATACTTTCAAAACATTTTGCCCTCAATATACTTTTAATTTATTAAACTATACCAGTTTAATTTATTTAGTTATTAAATAAAATAAATGAAATGCAACATCTTCAATTTATCACAGAGAGCTGCTATATTTGTGTCTTGTGAAATAATGGGTAAGTCCAGTGTATTTTCATTTCTATGGTTAAAACCATTTGTGTAAAAATCACATATAAGGGGCCATGGCTGGTTTGGCTCAGCGGTTGGAGCATCGGCCTGTGGACCGGAGAGTCCCAGGTTTGGTTCCCGCTAGGGGCACGTACCAAAAACAACAACAACAAAAAACAAACAAACAAAAAAACACACATATAAGGGATTTACAGGTGTGTTCTAATTGAGAATGAATCTTAGTGAGCCTTTCTACTTAAAAGCAATGAAAAACCTACTCTTGTTAAAAAACCAGTGAACAAGAGAATTATATTTTAATTGCATAGTTAAGAAAAAACATGATTGATATATTTTAGTGTTAAGTGAAAAGAGAAAAATATTGTTTTATGAACTAGTTTAAGACTTTGAGAACTGAACAGTATAATATGAAAGTGAAATCTAGAGTCTAGGACTTACAAACAGCATGACTTCTTTGCCAAGTTCAGGCCAAGGAAACTTTCTAACCCCGTGGTCACATAGACCTTTCTGAAATAGCTAATCTAGGTAAAGGTTAATGAATGCTGGAATCTACACATCTCATTTGGGACACAATGTAATTTTTTCTTTCTTTCTAGTGCTGTTGGTCTAATTGCATAAAATTCAAATTTACTTAAAATAAAAAAAATGCAATTACATATTTCTAATTAAAGTGATATACCTACAAACTTACATATGCCTCAAATGTTTTCTTGCACTTGAACTATACTTTCATTGATTAATTTTCATTAATGTTAGATTAGAAGGAGGCTATATTTCATTTGCCCTTTCAATACAAATTGAGACCCATCATCTACTTCTTCTAAATTGGCACACTAAGTAATTATATGTTGATTAATCACATATTCCATTTTTAACAAATGACTTTTAATAAGTCTACCAAAAATTTTAATAACTTTAGTCTTAGAACTTAATAAAAACAATCACTTATTTATTCTCCATGGTGTTTTTGTTTTTGTTTTTGTTTTCTGTTTTTGAATAAAGTTACTGAAAGAAAATGTAGTAAACCAGACGTTAGAGGAAATGGTTGTAGTCAGTCTGCCTGCAATTACTTTCATGGTGTGAGCATTGCCAAGTATATTGTACTCTTCTTACATCTCCACTTTATTATTTGCAAAGTAGCAGAGTCAGACCCTGGTTTACTGGTCACTAAATCCATTTACACTTCCCGCAGGGCATTGTTGGACCAGCTTCCCAATTTCCCTTGCGGATAGAAGTGACCACAGGTGTAATGGCAGAAAGAAATGTTGGCAGAAATTATGACAAAAGCCAGTTCCTGACACTGCTCATAATGAAATCTTCTTATGAACAATACTCCATCCTTTATTTTTCTTCTGTGGAGACCTTGAAAATGATAAAGCCTCAAGATTAAAAAAAACAGGATTTCTAATTTATAACAGATAAGAGAGATTCGTATAGATCAGAAATACCTATTTTGAACTTAATGAGAATGAGATGACTGACTGGCTACTGCATTGGGCTGTTATTTTGATTTTACCTGTTACAGTTGTTACTATGACTATGTCAACACTTAGGTCAAAGAATGCTTTAAATTCGTCATTCTACACTATAGTTAAAAGTCAAAAGGTGGCTTTGCATAGCAGAGAAGAAAATTAATTTTCTACTCATTTATAATTCAAAAATGTCACAAATAACTATTTGTGTAAACTGTCTTCATTAAATTCTCTTATTTCAGAAAGAAACAAACCTGTCTTTGGATTTTACGATTTGAAATCAACACATTCTTCATCTTTGGATCCTCAGTGCCTGTCAAATGATGAGGAAGATAATAATTTACAAAGAAACTAGGTTAAGGGTCATGCATTACTTATCCATCACTCCAGAACAGATTACCCCAGCATTTAGTAGCTTAAAACAACATGGGTTTATTATCTCACAGTTTCTGTGTGTCAGGAAGTTGGACATGGCTTAGGTGATCCGCTACTTTAGTCTCTCAGACGCCAATAATCAAGATCTCTGCTGAGACTGAGGTCTCTTCTGAAGGCTCATTATGAAAGCACCTACTTTCAGGTAACTCACAGGGCTATTGGCAAATTCCTCAATTCCTCAAGTGCCATCAGATTAAGGAATTCAGTTCTCTGCTCACTATTCATGGGGAGAGAATAACTCCTGGCTATAAACATCAGGAGGCAAGATTATTAAAAGCTATTTTAGAAGTCGCCTGCCTGAGGCCATCTTTAAAGTCATGTATGATTATACCTCACAAGTAACAAAATCAGATGTCTGGATTAGACTTTGGTAGGAATGTCTTTCTTGTTTCTTGTTTTTTTTTTTTTTTTTTTCCTATCACCATAAGTTATATTCAGGAGATACGACAAAAGAAGAATAAGGAAAAAAAAAAAAAAGACAGAAAGAGCAGAAAGATAAAGAGAATAGAAATATGGAGAAAGAACTTAATAGAAAAGTATTAATTTCTATGTATTTCGTTTTTATAATGCAATTGTCTGTACCTGAATGAGCAGAATGAAGGGTACCACTGTTGATGTCAAAGCAATATAAACCACTATAGCAGAGATGGCTGATTAAACTGACAGATTCACAATGTGAATGCATATTCTGAGGGTAAGAAATATAAATAGGTGTGAAGAGAACAAGAAGTGGCACTTTCACAAAAATCAAGAAACATACATCTGAGCTATTTAGGGGTACAGTAACAATGCATTAGATCACAGGAGTGATCACTAGTAAATAATTTTGTCTGTGGTGTGATTTTTTAAAAAAATATGTCTTGCGCTGGCCGGTTTGGCTCAGCGGTTATAGCATCGGCCTGCGATCTGGAGAGACCTGGGTTCAGTTCCTGATAAGGGCATGTACTTTGGTTGCAGTTTGTCCCTGGCCCTGATTGGGTCATGCGGGTGGCAGCCACTCGATGTGTTCCTTTCACGTCGATATTTCTCTCTCTCTCTCCCTCTCTCTGCCTCCCGCTCTGTCTGAATAAAAAATGGAAAAATGTCCTCTGCTGAGGATAAATATATATATATATATATGTAAAATGTCTAAATTGATTTTTTTTCTTTTTCTACAAAGGAAAGGAGGAGAAAGAG